TTGAAGAAAATAGCTTGGATGCATGAGCGACACTGGGAGCGCGGCTGAGCCACGTCTGTCAATGTTACTAACCACTTATGTGCTACGTTCCGGTGTCCTCATCCAGGGAGGAGGCAATAATTAACGCAGATGAGTTTACTGGTTATAACTTTCATACTTCGCAGCCAAGTCGCCGTTTGACCTCCCGAGGCTCCTTTCGACTTTTCACATGGTTGGGTAAAAAAGAGCGCTCCGAAGATGTCGATCGGCTGGCATACGAAGTATGTGAAAGGCCAGCACAACCTATGTGGTGGGAGATTTATTTCTTCCGAAAACCATCCGACGTACTTCAGCACCATTAATCCGGTGTTCCCACCAGACTCGCGAAATGCTTCGAAGACAACGATGGTCAAGCACTGAAATATTTTCAAGTACTCGGTTTATGACACGTAAAATAATAAGGGGCGTGTGGCAGCATTGTAAACTCTACCCTTGACGGATAAGCTGATGTCACGCCTACCCCACAGGTGGCACAGGTTCACGAAGACTGTTCTGGCCTTTCGATCCGGACGGACTGATACAGCTTCCAAGGTAGGCAAACTTGTCCGCTACCTCAACGGTTCGGCCTTGCAGGAGCACCTTACAGTTTGCAGGTGTGAAGCGCGTGTCAAACCGTGAGGCAGAATTATTTAGATTATCTAATATTGTTTGCATTGCCACGGCATCAGATCCAAGAAGAGTTATGTCATCTGCGAACTGCGAAACACTTCGACCCTACAGGCGTTAGAGGTTGATGGCGAGCTCCCCATCACCGTATCAATTGCGAAGTTGAAGACGAAGTGTGAAAGGAAAGCCTTGCCTGACACTTAATGTGGCCAACTCAGGAGAGAGTTTCCCGTAGACCGTCGGCGGAAGTTGTCGTACAGTGCTTGAAGGTCGGTCAAGAATTTATATGGGACGCATTTACTCCAGAGACTGCCATAGTGCCTGACGGTCCACAGAGTCAAAGTCAGTTTTCAATATGAGGAACACAACCATCGTTTAGGTCGCTGGAAGCAATGTTGCGGAGTCAATGTTTTGGAATCTGTCAGAGTGTGAAAAGTTGATCGATGCGTCGTCTTGCAGGGCGGAACCCAGCTTGTTCTACACAGATTTATAGACCATAGAGCACCTTCGATGGAACAGCTATCAGGCTGATTCCCCGGAGGTTTCACACAAAGATGGGGAAAACTGCGCCAATTTACAGTCACTTTCTCTTTATTCGATATTGCACCAATGAGCTCTGTTAGATTGGTCACAGGAGATTATCCGCCTTCTTTGAGGAGAGCTGGATATAAATCGTTCGGTTCCCGCGTCTTCTCACGTTTCAGTAGGGATATTTCATAATTTGCTATCCATTGTGACGGGCGATTAGTGCTTACTTTGCAGTCGCCCGCATGCAGTAGTGTTAGTTCGAAAGTTCCTGGAAATTCCCGGCCCATCCTTCCAATAGGAGATTTTTCGGCCCAACTGATTGTCAATTGCTTTCCGCCAGTTGATCATGTCGAGTGTGAAATACCACAGCTATTTCCAGCTGCAAAAGGCCTCTCCAATTACACAGCCCCCGTCGACCACTATAACTACCGGCCTTTCCTTAAACCCTTCAATATCTGCCATCTTGGGGACTTGTATGAGCTGTTGTGCTCGTTTCTTTGTAATATGGAATTGAGGTATCAATCAGAACTGGAAAACTCGACGATATCCAGTGGTCATCTGGTTGCATCGAAGTCACAGAGAGCACTGGACACTTGTAGAATAATTTTTTTCGCATTTTGCCATGTGTCCCCCACGTAGTCATCCGCCCTAGGGTGTTGGTTACTGCAGAGAGTAGCTGAGCAAGCTTAGATCTATACCGCCAAATCAATATCCAAGTCAATAAAATCTATCAGCTATAAACCATGTACCATGGTTACATTTGTTCACGCTGTTACAGTTTCTATTGCCGGAAAGTGGGATGGTATGGCATTACAGTCAAGCACGTCCATTGTAGAACTTGGCTCAAGGTAAACAAATGGTCGCTCCATCCTCGAAACCAAGCTTCATTCTCACGAATCTGCCCTTCCAAATAAACGACAACCTGTGCAAAATAATGCCACGAATGCACCAAGTTGATGCCTAGGGGGTCTTCGCACAACGTACTTGCACCCTTTTTGAAGACTAGGATGACAGTCGAGGAGCTCCATTCGACCGGTTTTCTGTTTCATTCCAAATCCTCTGAAATATGGCCTCACTAAGTCCTGGCCACATTCTTTTGAAGAGTGCAGGATCCAGGTCATTCAGGACAGATACCTTGTCGCGTTGAGGGATTGATATCTCACTTCTGTTGTTGGTGACGGACAGGTGTCGGGCGCGCAGGGTTCTTCCATCATCAAAATTGACAGCATGACATTAGTTGTAAACACCGATGCTTCACTGTCGTTCCTCCAGTGGTTGAGGTGAAGGAGACCATCTGAACCGTTCTTCGACGTGTTCAGTCCACCGCTCCTCCTTTTGTGCCGGTTGATCCAATCGGCTAAACTAGGGCAAGGCTGTTGATTGTGGCGAAATCCTTCTGTATCTCCTGGGCCTTCACAATCCGCCAATGCCCTCTGTCATTCTCCAAGCTACTGATAATCCGATATTGATGGATTCGCCATTACAGTTGCAGGTATAACCTTTACAACAGCAATAAGATCCACTGCTCTCGATGATATACAGTATCCATTTAGTCGTGTCGGGTGACTGAATGCTGTGAGGATCGCTTGTTTCACTCGCCACATTTGGCTACCAAGTAATGTCCGTCATCCGCATGCCTGTACTTTTTCAGTAGATTTTTAGCCAAATCACCTCGTTACTCTGAGCTACTGAGCTGCAGCTCTTTGCAAAGCGGCTCACCCAGCATGAGGTCTGAGCAAGCAGTCTATTTACAAATTTGACATAGAGTAGGGGTAATGAAACTTGCGTACAAACGATTTCGTGACCGTAGCAAATGGTTATTCTGCTTATTGTTAATGATCAGTAGTGTGTAGAACACGCCAGTCAGATAACTGGAAACCGAAAAATTCAGCACCATTTCCTTATAGTGCGAGGAGTTGGGTAGAGGTATCGGTGGACAAACAACTGTGCAATCAACACCCATCCCAGTTGCCCGGGCCAAGAGACAGAGTTCAATTTGGGTATCTCACCTTGAAACTTTGACCCTAGAGTCTCCAAGGCAGTAGGAGGTAGGGCATTAGTCGGTGGGGCTTACCTTTACACTGACTACTAAGTCCGATCCGCGAGGAAACAGGCAGGAGGGTTTTCTTGGGGACCTTACAGGAACCTTCTTAGTAGTCTGACCCACAAGGCTGCATAGCATTCGCATAACGCGGAGACTCAGGGAACGAGACATAGACATTTAACTCCTGGTTAAGCGCACATGCGTTTGGGGTAAAATCGAGCTAATGGCTCCATTTGTTTTTCTACAGTACTAGATAACTCGCCGGTCGTCACGGTCAACCGTTGAGAGCGGAAGATGCGTTTTTTAAGTTCAGCCTTTCTAACCCACCTTTCTTGTTGCTTCCACATATATGGGTATGCTGGTCGCCTGGGCAAAACGCCTTACTGTCTTGACACTCCCATAGCTGAGAACAGTAGCCGACCATATCCTGGCGCGTTTACTCATAGTGCAGTATCGGTTCATTGGACCCATGTGAACTTATTGTCATTCCGTTTTGCTTCATACACCTGCTACTCCATAATGCACACCTGATTGAGTGAGTTTGTACGCACGCTGGCTATTTAAGACATGTCGAGTCCTTTAAGCAATAACTACATCGAGGACACGTCACAATATTGAGGATAATTTCATTAAGTGTGGTGCACTCCTACATCCCAGGTTAGAAATAAAATTCTATAAAGAGAACATCGGAGAAGGACATAAACGCTACGTTCCCTGTCGTCAGTACAGCTTTATCATGAGCGACATTAACGTTATGGAATCGGCTGGAGACAGTTATTATCCTAGACCAAAAACGGATCTCGGGTGAAAAATCTCCACACATTCATAGCATTACGCGATCCAGGTTTCTAATGCAAACTCACCATCTGTGGAACTGTCCCAGTAGCATGAACTGGCAGTGTGTAGACCAGCGCCACTCTTTTGCATGATAACACAAGTCACTGTTCCGTAGAAAAACTGAACAAGAGCCTACCGACGTATTTGAAAGGTTTTCCAAGTTTCGTCAGATGATTTAAGCATTGTTCAATCACAAGAGAAGTCCACTGTTGCACTTTGTTGTGCGAATAGGTGCTGGAACCAACTGTGCTCTCAATGCTCTAAAGCACACACTGTAAAGGCACATGTGCCAGTTACCTCTTTAACGATATTTTTCACTTCGTCTGATACAAAGGTAGTCTGAAGGAGTCACGTTTAGATAACCGAGCGACGTACTTCCTCGCCCGTCTGAAAATCATCCATAATTAGACGCACAAATCAACCCTAGCAACGGATTCTAATTTAGCGGGAGCTACAGCTGGTAGTTAAAAGAACGTATACACGCCACTAAGACTGTCGTGAAAACATATGAGATCAACAGATGTGAGCTTATCATGCGAATCCTCTTCCTTCGGAAGTTAGTAACTAACTCACGGTTGGTACTCCTAAGTTAATTCTTGTTGACTTCTAACTGACGGTTGGTACTCCTAAGTTAATTCTTGTGGCGCGCGATACAGATGTTGAGCCGGATGATGTTTCAAACTTTTTGGATTTTCTACCCAATTGAGCGATTCTGATGATCTTCATCTCCTAGATTTGCGTTTGATGAGTACTTAGAGTAACTGAAGAGAATCGAGTCTAATCACGCCTGTTTGGAGATATGAATCTCAACCCTGAAATTCCGGTCTATAACTCCCCCAATTTTTCCTTTTTTGAGCGCTCAGTGTACAGTCCTATTCAAAGCTCAAAAAATTTCTGCTGACTTGAGTACAGGTTAGGACAAATTTTCAACCCACAATTAATTCCGGTGGTTACCCATCCTACGGATATACCCGGTGTGTATTTGATCATCTGGGGAATATACTAGACGCCTTTACAAAAACTGTACAGGACACTCCATCAGACATAAAGCCGTACTCCGTTTACCGTGGTTGCTGAGCCATAGACTGCACCTCTGCAACCAGTCCATATGCGCAGTGAGCTGGCTCGTCGTCTTCAATACCACCCCTGGTGTACGCTGATATTCACGGATTCACGGATTGATACACAGGATCGATCGTTTGCCCAAATTTCCCGGGTCGGTTTTGTTCTTGTCGGTCAGTGGCTGTCGTTCACCTGAAAGGCACAAGTGAAAAAAGGGTGTAGCACTGCTCTTTATGTTCTCAGCGCGGGGCAGCATGCTCGCCAGCGCGAGGATTCGCATAAATAAATGTCTAATAGTGCTTTAAATTGGGTTCCCATTGAAATCTGAAAATCGACATAGTCTTGCGGTAGGAGAACGACACCACAATAGATTGGGTGGCTTCCGTCATCTGGAACCATCATAGTGGGGCCTCGAGTTACCTAAAATCGGTCCTACGCAGTTTGATTGTCACCCCAGGAGCTATTGGAGGCTTATGCACCGATTCGAGCTTTACTTCGAAAGCAAGACCCAAGACGAAGGAAAGAGGCTCGTACAGTTGATAAGCGCGTGCTCCGGGGTAGCCGAGGAGGCTATCGAAAACTGTCTCATGCTTCAGCCTGCGGAAGCATATGAACGTGCCCGCTGAATTCTGCACGAGTCTTTCGGAAGGTCTCATGTGGTTACTGGAGCTCTGATAAGTGATCTCATTAAATATTTTCGTTCTACCTCGTGTAAGGCAAGAAATCTGACTCAGTTGGGCTTCAAAATGGGGAGTTGCGAAACATTTCTCACTCAGATGAACTACAGTGCAGAACTGAGTTCCCTGGAGAATTTGGATAGATTAGTGAGGTGCTTGCCCAATAATTTACAGCACAAGTGGGCGGAATTCGTTTACCAAGCCACTCATGATCGGGGGAGCCAACCTTCGCCGACATCACACAGTTCGTTACTCAAATGTCGAGATTGCCAAGCAGTCGTCACGACCTTCTGCCAGAATCCGTTACGCAAAGGGACCAGGTGTACGTGGCCAATCTGTTACAGACGTAGGCAAAACCAGAACAACTTGGAGTCATGCGGTCGTTCGCTCAAATCAGACCCCGCTGTTGAGCGAGACAGGTTGTAAGGTTTGTGGTAGTAAACACCGTATCAACACCTGCGAGTGCTTTTTGTCTTTTGAGCCAGTGGAAAGATGGTCCACCCTAAGTTCTCTCATTGCTTGTTTTCGGTGTCTTGGAGGCGCTCACAAAGCAAAGGACTACCAACTACAATATCGATGCGGGGTAGATGGATGCCGAGCCAAGCATCACGATCTGCAACAGTCGAAACCACTGAATAAAAAGCAGAGTTAGCTCCTGTAGTCAGAAGCAATGCGATGACTGACAGTACAACGGCTGTTTCCCTAGGACTGCTCCCTGTTCGTCTAATCGGACCTTCGGCGGAACTGATCACGTATGCTTTCTTAGGCAGTGGGTCCGATATCACTAACTTATGTCATAACTAGCTGCACAAACTCGGCATACAGAATCATCGGACGCCGCGAAAAATGGAGACAATCAGTGAATCTTGTTTAGCAGTAGGAGAATCTGGAAGTTTCGAGGTGTGTCCACTTCACAGTGACGAGATTGTTTTGGTGAAAGTTGCTTCAGTAGTATCTGACATTCTCCCATCATTAGTCGTGGGTCCATGCTCGGAAATTGCAAGTCGCTGGGCTCACTTGAAGATATTCCGTCTAAATCGGTTAGTATATTGATTGGCTGTGACGTTCCAGAAGCTCACTGGGTGCTAGATCAGCGTTTGGGGAGTCGAAAAGTGCCGTCTGCCGTAAAGACACCTCTGTATTGGGTTATTCTTGGACCACTGGGTCCAGGTAACCGTGTAGGAATCGCCGCCAGCTACCTGTCGTCGGTGAAGCCATCATTGTAGGGTCAACTCCGTGCTTTATACGATGCAAACTTTGCGGACATTGATTCGTTTCGGAAGCTCTATCGCTGGAAGACAGACGAGCAGTAGAATTGGTGACCGCAGGGATGCAACGCTCTAGGGGGCATTTTGTTGTACCACTCTCTTGGAAAACGGACCGACCCACCGGTTCTTCAAACTTTTCGGCAGCCTTGTCACGACTGCACCCGTTGCGAAGACGTTTCCTGCATGACCCAGAATACCTAGAAGCATACGCAACATTCCTTTCACGGAATACCGAGAAGGGCTATGCAGTACCGTTCCCTATGAGCTGGTAGAATTATAATCAACAGCAAGATGGTACCTGCCTCACCACGCGGTACTGAATTCCAGAAAGCCTGGAAAAATGTGGGTCGTATTTGACTGTTCAGCAAAGCACCACAGAAGATCGCTGAACGACATGCTTCCCCAGGGAGTGGATGCAACTGCTGACTTGGTAGGAGCTCTTTTGATACTTCGAAGAGACCGGGTTGCTGTGTACGCAGATGTCGAAGAAATGTTCATGCAAGTTCACGCAACCAGATCATTGGGCTCTGAGAGTTCTGTGGTTCCCTCAGAAGGATCTTGTTATTGAGCCTACTGAATATCAGATGACCTCTCATGTCTTCGGTACCGTCTCTTCTCCGTGCTGTGCCAATTTCACTCTAAGACACAGTGTCTGTTTTCAACAAGGATTACGACGACCGAATTGAATCGTCTGTGATAAGCAACTTCTACGTAGATGATTGCTTTATTTCAGTACCTTCCGTCACCGACGCATAGAGGTTTGTGCAAGTATTAGCTGAGATACTGTCCAAAGGAGGGCTTCACTTTCATAAGTGGGTGAGCAGTTTCCCCGATGCGCTGCAAGGGCTCCCGCTGTCTGAACGAATGGAAGCCATAGCGGAGATGTCTCCAAAGACATTAATACAGAGCGGGCGTTGGGTATTGAACGGGATCCATCTTCTGACATCATTTGTTTCCGGTTTCACATTCTCGAGAAACCACTAACGCGAAGGGGAGACCTGGCAGCATTTTGCTCGCTCTTCGATCCACTAGAATTGGTATCCTCCGTATAATTAACCGCGAAACAGCTGCTACAGCAACTATGTAAGACCGGCCTGGGTTGAGACACTCCTGTCAGTGAAGACCACTCAATTCGGTGGCATTCATGGTTGAACTTGGTCAAGTCGATAGGAGTTTTGCAGTACCCGAGATGCTTGCTCCCTGATTATTTCGTGGGTGTCTGTAACCCTGAGCTTCATGTATTCTTAGACGCGTCGGAAACAGGTTACGGGGTTGCTGCATATGCACGTTTTGTGTCAAACGATGATCGAGTGGCATGCCCTTTGATTTTCGTAAAATCCAGAGTTGCTCCGTTAAAGACCGTTACCATTCCGAGGTTAGAACTTACTGCCGCAGCATTAGCCACCAGGGTCTACAAGCTACTTATTGAGAGTTTACCCAACTTCTTCTCCGTGGCCACTCCCTAGAGAGACTCACAAATACTGGTTGATTACATCAGTAATCAGACCGCGAGGTTTTGTACCTTTGTAGCCAATCGGCTAGCCATTATTCAAGAAAACTCCCCACCGAGCGAATGGAAGCACGTGAAATAATCACAGAACCCTGCCAACCCAGCGTCCAGGAACAGTAAAAGTGGCGGACGACTTGAGTCGCTGGATGTATGGGCCAGAGTTTACCAACGAATCGAAGATTTTTGTGTGACCTTCGACCTCTGATCGGATACCCGATGGTGTGGAGCTAAAAACGAGTCGAGCATCTATTAACGTTTTTTCTACTCGAAGTGTTTCCGAGGGTTTGTTTTTTCCAACTGTCTAGCTGGTTTGTATTGTTGAAATCAGTTGCGTGGTTGAGGCGCTTCATCCACTACATTATGTACAAATTTGGAAGGTCTGTCGTCATGCTGTTTGTAGGTCACCTAGAAGTGAAACAATTGACGGAAGCTCGGGTGGTCGTTATCCGTCAGGTTCAAGCAGAAGTATAAAGTGGAGTTACCTCGTTTACAAGCGAACACCTACTCGGAGGCAATTAGGGTCTCGGCACTGCGTGAGCTTTGTCCCACCCTTCTCAATGGTGTTCTCTTCGTTGGTGGATGGCTCCACTATTTAAAGCGAGCACGTACTCGGAGCCGATTAGGGTCTTAGCACTGCGTGAGCTTTGTCCCATCCTTCTTGACGGTGCTCTCTTCGTTGGTGGATGGCTCCACTATTTCAGTTACGCGTTATCCTTGAAGCACCCGCCTATCTTACCGAAAAACTCCCCGTCAGATCCACTCACTTGCCATTATCCTGAGGCAGAAGGTCATTCCGGCGCTTCCCATGTATGTGGCGTTTTTAGGCAAAACGTCTGGATAGTTCGTGGGAGTCAGGCGGTGAAGTGCGTCCTACATGAGTGTATT